TGGTTGCGCAATAGTCTTAATTTTGGCCCTCATACCGCGCCATACTGTAATTGACATCATAGTTAGACCTCAACTATGAGAGACAAAATGAGAAAACGTAGAAAAATCACATTGTCTGATGTTTTAAAATAATTTATTTTCAAACTACGGTGGAAAGTAAGTATTTGGTCAACAAAGAAGCAATATTTCTGCTCACAGATCTGTAACGTCTTTAAGAGGCACCTCTGTCCTCCACTCATTACCTGTAATAATGACACCTGTTTGAACTCATCCCTGTTCCACTCCATCTGCCACGCTCACTCTCACTTGCTCCCAGTCCAGCCCATGTCTCCACTTACTCATCAGCACCTGTCCATGTATTCTGTCAGTATTCCCTTCAAACTACTTCAAACTGTTTTTGAGTCTGTTGGTGGGACTCTTAATGCTCCTGTACCTTCTGCTGGAGAGCAGGTGTTGACCATGATGATGGTGGACTTTGGAGATCCTCTGGACAAGGGGGAGAGGACAACCAGTTGGTTTCTCAGCAGTCCTGCATTCCTGAAGCCAAAACCCTCCTGCCACAGTGACAGCAGCTATCTGTAGCACTTCCATGTAGGCAGAGGCCCTTCTTGCAGGAATATCACCATGTTTCTCCTGTGATTACCATGCATGCAAAATTGTCAGCAGTACTCCGGGTTTCCTCACACTCCAAAAACATGTACAATAGGATGACTTCAGGCCCAGGCCTCCCTTGAAAAAGAGATCTGAGATCTCAACGATTTCCTGGTTAAATAATGGTGAAATAAAAAAATAATGTTTTTAAAATTTCATAGCAGTTTCTGCAGATGCTGCCTTTAAAAGTTTTACACTGATGTCAGTTTTGCATTTCATTATAAATCCAGCAATAATATCATGAAATTCCTGCAGGAAGTGTACCAGGTTGCACAGGAAGTACTACAGCTATTACTGCAGTCAGTGTTTGCCTTTACAAACATTTATAAAACTGTACGTGAATAATAGCTGATAATCATTTAACAGCAATCAATGTAAAGATTGATTAAATGGAGTCTACATGAATTTTTATGACCCCCGCACGTGAAGCGTAAGTGGGAGTCATCTTGTTTTCACACCGTTTTTATTTATTTATTTATTTAATTATTTATTTATTTATTTATTTTCGTTCTGTGAATTTTGGTCAACCGTAGCACAACAACGGCTGCACCAATCAACATGAAATTTGGCAGGACTGTAGATGAGTCTGACCTACACTGCACCAGCCAACGGTTTTATGATAGACCCCATATTTGAGGAGGGGGCTCTTTTCAAAGAGTGGGTGTCAGGACATGCAAAAATGCTTATAACTCAGAAACTGTTCAACATAGGAGCTTCATATTTTGTTTGTTGTTTAGCTCTGATGAGGGGCTACTTGAGATAATCATATGATTTTGGTGATATTTTGTTTGGTTTGAAATGTTCTTTTGGAATCTGCTGTCAGATTTAATATTGGTGCAGGATTAAACATTTATCCACATCCCTACATATATTATCTGTCTGTGTCTCACACTCTGCTGGTATCTCAGTCTCAGCTTCCTCACTTTCAGGATCTTCGTCTGTTTCTCTTTCCATCTCTGTGCCCTCTCTCTGAACATGTCCCAAGTCCTCCGGATCACTCTCTGTGGCGCTCTTAACTTGCTTCTCTTCACTCTCTCATCATCGTCTGGCTCTGTCTCAGTGTCTGCCTCATTCTTATTCGTTTTTCTTGTGCAGAAATAGGACGTAATGTCCTTTTTTCTCTTCATTTTGAACTATACACAACATGCAATGGAGAGGAATACACACTTCAGCAACCGAGCATTTAGATTGTGATTTCAGCAGGTTAACTAGCGTTAGCTAAGCATGAAATCAACTCAAGCATACGATAAAGCCTGTTCCTGTTCTGACAGGCCGCTATTAAAGTTCATAAAGTTAGCCAACCACAAGAATTCTTACCTTGTAACAATACAATATTGTTTGTTGTGATAATCGTGGATGGTAACTTCGCGTTCTTCTTTTTCACCAAATCGGTCTCGTTTAAACAGTTACCGAAATAAAAGTGTTGCTGAATTACGCAAAGCCAAACAACAATATTTTAAAAATCAAATTATTTCAGCCAGTAAGAATCCAAAAACATTATGGGAAACGATTAAGTCAGTGACAAGTGAAAGTAACAATAAAACATTTAATAACAATTCACAAATCTCAGTAAATGGACTTCTTGTTTCTGCTCATGAAAAAAATTGCTAACTTATTTAATGAATATTTTATTTCTTCAGTAAGGACATTATTACCGGGACAAGCTAATAGTTTAAAGTTATTTAAATGTCCTGATACTTCAAAGCAATTTTCATTTTCTGAAATTTCACAGTGATGTTTTGAATACACTCCAATCTCTAAATGGCTCACATGCATTTGACTTATGGATTTCTTGAAAATGCATGCCAACACTTTTTTAACCATTGTTTCATAATTTGCTTAATTTATGTATTGTGCAGTCTATTTTCCCTGATGCCTGGAAGTTTGCTCAGATTACTCCCATTTTTAAATCTGGTGATCCAACAGAAGTTTCAAATTATCGGCCAATTTCTGTTCTTCCTATTTTTTCTAAGTTACTTGAGAAAACTTTATTTAATCAACTACTTCAGCATCTAGAAGCTAATAATATGCTAAGCAATAGCCAACATGGTTTTCGCATGTCAAGGTCAACCATGTCTGCATTAATTTTATTCACTGAACAAATACGTGCTGCTTTGAACAAAGGTCAAGTAACTGGTGCTGTATATATTGATTTTCGTAAAGCGTTTGACGCAGTTGATCATTATACTCTCTTACAAAAGTTGATTTCTTTTCAACGTTCATCACTGCAATACAAATGTTTTCCTCTTATTTGACTGATAGGTGTGAGGTTGTGAAACATGGAAGCTCTGTGTCCGGGTCTCTGCCCTGTTCCGTGGGAGTTCCGCAGGGTAGCATACTGGGCCCATTGCTTTTCCTATTATACATAAATGACCTTCCAAAAGTATTGAAGTATTCAAATATTTTAATGTATGCTGATGATACTGTTCTTTTTTTGTCTGATTTCAATATTGAATCTATTAATAGTCAGTTACAAGCAGATATTCAGACATTTCATGGTTGGCTTCAAGATAATCTTTTGTCAATTAATGTTAAAAAAAACTGTGTGCATGTATTTTTCCTCACCCAGGAGACATTTCAATATAACAAATCAACTCACTTTTTTAAACAAACCCCTTGATATTGTCACTACCTACAAATATCTTGGAATTACTTTGGATTCTCAATTGACTTATCGTGATCATGTACGTCTTAACCACTTAGTTGAAACAGAAATTATACGTTTATTCGAAAATTAGATCCAATCTGACATCTTCTGTTTCAAATATCTATCTTCATGCCATTATACTTTCAACCATGTCATACTGTTTACCTGTTTGGTCTCTTACAACAAATGAAATCTTAGAACCCATAGTTAGGCTCTACAACAGGGCCTACAAAATTCATAAAAAAAACTTCCTGGTTGGCCTCATCACTGTACAGTTCTTTCATTGTCTGATGCCTTGACTTTTCAGAAGTATGTTTTGTATAGTGGTATTAATTTATATTTTCAGATCTTCCAAGGTGCCAATTATGTAACTCTGTGCATTGTTGCCCAAATCAAATTCTGGAAGTGGTCGTTCAACTAGATCTGTTACAAAAGGACAACTGATATTACCAACTTTTAAAAACTGTTATAGCCAGAGGTCTTTCTTCTATGTTTATACTAAAGCATGGAATGACATTCCTCAAAACATAAAGTCCATTTCAAAACTACAGCCCTTTAAGAAGAATCTTGTCTGCCATCTGCTGGACACTTTTTGTTGTGCTCATATTTAGACATTCTATTTTGCAAATGCTGCCTTCCTGAAATCTGGAATGCTTGTTTGTCTTTGTGTCTATGGTGTATAAGGATGTGATTGTGATGCTGTATTTCTGAGTGTTTTATGTGCTGCAGAACAGGAACCTGCTGTAAAACAGTAATTATGCTGAGTCAGGCTTGATTTTTAGTAATCTTTTCCTGTTGAATCAATAAATCAAATCAAATCAAATCAATGAACTGGCCGCCCGCTGTTTACAGTGGTGCAACGCACTAAAGGATTCGACTACAATGTTGAGCCACGCGCATTGGTTCCGCCTTTTGCATCGGCACAATATGAAAATATTAATAATTACTCTACAATCTTCGTTCGGAGGGGAGGGGAGGGGGGCACAGGCGGGTCCAGACTCAGTGTTAGGGGGCACTGGCCCCTGCTGAACCCACCCCAGGACGGCCAGTGTCATTATGTTACCGCTATACGGTATCTAGTTTTGTTTGAAATTACTAAACAGTAACACAATTTGATCTTGGCTTTGCTCAGACTAGTTGTTGGCCCATCAGTTTGGTCAGATATAAACATTTGTGACTTTCAACAACAAAATGTACCAAAATGTATTAACTAGCCGACAAATAGGGTAAAAACCTGGGTGGCTCAATGGGTTTTTTTCCCATAAGAGCAGCTGCCAATCCCTGCCACCCCTTAAAACTGCCAATGGTTCAAAAATATCTTCAACAGGAAAGTTATAATTTAATTTATAACTTTTTCCACAGAACCCTACTTCAAAAAGTCCAAAATTTCTAACAATAAACACAGCCTCTATGAAAAGAGGCAATTCTTCCTCACTTTTATTACACCCATTGGATAAAAGACAAACTTTACAAGCAGTAAAAATTTAGGACATCATCTCTCTGTTGAACATGTCAGAAAAAAATTCACAATTCTACTGTGTTCTGCAGGTTCAATCCACAGTTAAAACTAAACTCATATTTTCACATCTGCTTCAGCCGTTTGAGCCTTTTTGCCCCAAGATTACTCAGTTCAGTGACCTGCAGCACTAAATCAGCAGAATCATTTTATTGAGTAATAATTTTGTCTTTTCTCTGCGTTCAGCATCCACATATCCAGATGGAGTCTCCCTATATCAAGTTCCTGTGCTGTGAAGAGGAACACACTCTGTTGCTTTGGGTCATCTCTATCAGAATAGCCAAGGTGTGATTATCATGTGTGTGAAAGGGATAGATACAGCTCAATCACAACATGCATGTCATCGTCTACAATGAGTTTACATGGGTGTGTTTGTGTTTCAGTATGGTACCATCTTGTATAAAAACTATCAGGCTGCAGTGAAGAAAGCGTCGACTTTTCAAAGTTTCCCATCTCCTGCATATAAAGGTAAGAACAAGAACGTGAAGATACAGGATTTCATTTGTTAAATGTATACATTTTTTTCTTTCAGTCACTGAATGTTAGCCATCAACTGATATTTCACAGTTAGTTAAAGATGAACAGTAAACTGGTGCTGACTAAATATTGATTTTAATTCATCTTTACAGACAGTCCCAATGGTCACACCTCACTGGAAAACTCACATTCAGGTTCTTCAAACATGGAAGATTACCCAAATGAGCCACCACCTGACTTCATCCCTCCTCCTCCAACTAACCTCTGAAACAATGCTTACGTTTTTTTTGTTGTTGTTGTTTTTTTACAATGGCTATCGTCCAGTCTGAAGTGGTGGAACTGCACAAGTACTTTTCTCACAAAATTGAATTATGTGGCCCCGAAAAGATCCTTGACCAAATTATTAATAAGAATCTTTCTTTTTACTAAAGTTAAACTGATAAAACTGTTGCTTTCAAATTGTGGTTAGAATTATTCTGAAAACCAAACAAATTAAATAGTGTACCTAATAATAATGGGTGGTGAAGACATTAGAGGTGAACACTAAGACCAAGGTACATCAGTGTCAGTGCACACAATCGGTCACTGTCTGAGCCAAAATGGATTTAAAGGAAGACAACCGAAGAGAATTATAAAAAAGTGAGACTTCGGTTCAATGAAAGGCACATTTCCAAGTCTCAAAGTTTCTGGGAGAATGTCCTCTGGATTGATGAGACAAAACTGGAACTTTTTGGCAACAATTCATATCCATTCCATTTTCCACAGACCCCAACCTAAAACACACAAAGAAAAGAACACTTTACGTACTGTTTGGATTAGGGTTGGGCATAATCATATCGTGTGCAATTAATCGTGAGAAAAACATTAATCGATTATTTTTTGGCACTTGACAATTGATACGATTAATCTCCAGTCAGTCTGCTCGATGCTCCTCTCCACTTCAAATATGAAGAACATTTAAAAAATAAGTTCTGTAATTTATTTATCAACACAACTTAAAAATTGATGTACAGCCTGAAGTCTGTGATTTTGACACAATCTGGAACAGATTTTTACGAAGAGCAAATCTTTCCTAATTGGTCAAGTGACTAGGACATAAGGGTGTCCAGGGACTCCAGCCTTAATCGTCAAATTATTCGTTATCGGCTAAATACCAAAATTAATCGTGATTATTTTTTTTGCCAATATTGCCCAACCCTAGTTTGGATGACGCTCAGTCCTGCTCTGGGGCTGATCTGCTGCCTCTGAAACAGGGTGTCTTGAATCTGCACAGGGCACAATGAAAACTCAAGACTATCAGTGTGTTCTGGAGCAAAACGTGCTGCCCAGCGTCAGAAAGCTTGGTCTCAGTCACAGATCATGGGTTCTACAAAAATGTAAACACAGGTTTTTAGATTTTTGATTCTGTTGAACTGAAAAGCAATGATTGATTTTCATTTGTTGATTTTTTTTTTAATAATTATTTTTGTAAACTTTGCGTGTGTGTGTTTGTGGTGGGGAGTCTACAAAAGAGCAAAAACCAAACTGTGAGCATGTCATTTGTTTTGCAGAAACAGCATAATCCTATTTGTTTCAATGAGCTGTTTATTACAAAAAGACTGTACATAAATTTGAATGAACACGCTGTATGTACAAACTGAAGACAAACACCAGATTCTGTTCCCATAAACATCTAAGTTACAGAAATGTCTGTTTTTTGTTATTGTTCTTTATTACATATTTGATCGTAAGAAAACACTGAATAAAAGGTGTCTCTTCTTTTGTTTTGATGCCCTAAAATGCCAAAAGTTAATTAACATGACAAATAAAATTCTGCATGGAAGTGGTTGTCTCTCTTTTTTTATGAAAAAAAGCATAAATACAAACTGTTAAGGATAATTCTGCAGTCTTGGACATAAAAAGACATTGAATGCAAAGTTGTAAATACTTTAGATAGAAAAAGTTGTTTTCTCACAAAAAATGGCTTCAGAATGAAAAATACAATCAAGAATGGGATGAAGTGGCAAAAACTTCACTTTGAAGACATTGAAAAGCTGAATGAATACAAAAAACATTCCCTTTCAAAATCCAAGTTTGTGGTAAATCATTTAGAGGAGTATTTTATTTATTTTGACAGAGTTCTTTGAAAAAAGTTATGAATAATTAATATCTTACCTGTTGTAGATGGTGTCAATAAGACAGCATCATTCCATTTTAGTTTTTGTCCCACTCCAATTAGCTGTCACTAGGGATGGGCAATATGTTATCTTGTGCAATGTACTGTCAAAGAATTTCAGCATGGTAATAATTTGTCATATTGTGATAAAAACAATAAAATCCTGCCACGTATCCAGTTTATGTTTGTCTTTTTGACCAAAGAAGGTGTAAAGCATGTACAGATGTTCCTACCAGCCTTATTTCTGCATTCTTGCACAACAATGCATTTCAGTTTTCACACGTTCATTGGAATTTATTGAAATTATTTTAATACTATTTTTATCAGGTTGTATTTACAGTTGTACTACTTTGTGATTTTCATAAGCCAAGTTATTTTTGCTGTTTACACCATTTAAATAAATATATTTGTTCTCATATTTCAGACTTGTTTGATGTGTGTACTGCTTGAAATTAATTAATGTCGTTTAGTGGCTTCTAATATTATTTTAGGGCTCTCAAGATCTGTCTTGAGATGTAGTGATAGATTAATAATACAAAAGATTAGGCTGATATACAGGGGTTGGACAATGAAACTGAAACACCTATCATTTTAGTGTGGGAGGTTTCATGGGAGGTTTCATGGTTAAACTGGACCAGCCTGGTGGCCAGTCTTCATTAATTGCACATTGCACCAATAAGAGCAGAGTATGAAGGTTCAATTAGCAGGGTAAGAGCACAGTTTTGCCAAAAATATTGCAATGCACACAACATTATGGGTGACTTTTGGATGTTCGGGTGCTAACCCAGATTGTATCCAAAAAACAGAAAAACCACCACTGCCCAAATTACGGCAGAATTAAATGTGCACCTCAACTCTCCTGTTTCCACCAGAACTGTCCGTCGGGAGCTCCACAGGGTCAATATACACAGCCGGGCTGCTATAGCCAAACCCTTTGGTCACTCGTAACAATGGCAAACACTGGTTTCAATGGTGCAAGGAGCACAAATGTTGGGCTGTGGACAATGTGAAACATGCATTGTTTTCTGATGAGTCCACCTTTACTGTTTTCCCCACATCCAGGAGAGTTAAGGTGTGGGGAAGCCCCAAAGAAGAGTACCTGTTGCATGCCCAGAGTGAAGCATGGGGGTGGATCAGTAATGGTTTGGGCTGCCATATTATGGCATTCCCTTGGCCCAATACTTGTGCTAGATGAGTGCGTCACTGCCAAGGACTACTGAACCATTCTGGATGACCATGTGCATCCAATGGTTCAAACATTGTACCCTGAAGACGGTGCAATTTTTTATCGTTGCTTATTGTTACCGTGATAAAAACCTAGAAATTATCGTGATACATTTTTTAGTCCATATTGCCCATCCCTAGCTGTCACTAATTAGATCAAAATTAAGCGGTTTCTCCAAACATGTTCCAAGAATATCTGCAGCTAATAATCAACTTTTCAACAGAAGCCCACTTGGTCAAAATCTCCTAACAATTGTAATTTGTGGTATGTGACAGTTTCTGAGGCAGGCTTTACCCTCAAAGATATTTTGAATTTTTACTTGCACCACCAATATTTTTGCAGGGCTGATAATTCCTCCATTTTTACAACCTAATGATTAAAATGATTTCCTTTCATGCAGCCAATCATGCAGCACAGAATCTGGATCAAAACCATGATTGGCTACTGTACAATACTGCTGAGTCACCTACATTCACAATGCAGATATGATTGAAGGATTATTTACAATCAAAATCATCAATGTTCATCTCCAGGTTTGAAATCAGGAAGCCAACTCCACCTCACCTTTGCTATGATTCTAATCAGAGCAGTACTATTCTTGAGGTTGTTTGTGTTGGTGATTCTGGTTGTTGAGCACCACTGTAAAGCACCACACTTATAACCATTCAAAGAGTACAACAGCTCTAAAGGATGGCTGAAACTATGAACAAAATCATGCCAGAAATCAGACTCATCACAGTTGTTGATAACAATCATTGCAGCTACAACACAACAGGAAACAATATGAAGATGAACTCAAAATGTTCTTCTACTGCTTCCCACTTTGAAGCAACGCACTGCGGAGTTCTGCTACAGTAGCTGGACAGCATTATTAAAACCAGTTACCGGGATCAAAATGATACAGTTGTAACTTTACATTAAAAAATAACCAGTTATACACAATACGTTTGCCTGGATAAAATGGCAAAGTGACTGATGGGAAAACTGACATTCAAGTAGAAATGAACTGAAAAAACAAATGCATGGGACGTTGGCACCACCTCCACTGACGCTAATGGAAACACACCAACATAGACTGAACTGGCAGTTTGTCACATTACAGTTTATATACAGGTTAGAGCACAGGAACACCACCAGACCCAAGCAGGAACTTTTCTTGCTTTCTTTTCGTTTCTGTAAAGCATTCTGTACACTTGTTTTATTTGTATGGCAGCCCCAAAGGAAAGCAAATTTATAAATTCACCTTTGTCTGAAGCGTAAACTTTTTTTTGACATCAAGAGTGTGGAACAGCCAGTCATGTCTTATCACACTTGATGTTTTTCCTTTAGTCATTTTTATGTAATTTAGACACGTGCGTCTTGAACACGAGGAAGAGTCGGTCTACAGTGCAAATAAACAAAGTGAAGTACATTTTAATACTCTGCCTTATGTAAGTTTTCAGCCTGAATCTTCCACACAAAAGAAAAAAAGAAGTCCTTTCAGGTTGCAGAGCCCCCCAGCTCCAAACTGGCAAACTCCCTGTTAAGAATTACTTTTGTATTCTGAAATTTAGTTTGAATGTAGTTTCTTTAGAAGTAAACTGCTGAACTTTAAATAAAGATGTGACAGTGGTCAGGAAAGTGTCTCTACCTCCTCTCTTTCAGTGTAAACAACTGCTCCCCTCTATTCAATGTTTTTCAATGTTGCAGATCAAATTGACACAAGCCCTCCAAGAAAACAACTTTACTGGCACTTTGTTAAAAATGGAAGCAGTTGTCACGACTACACACCTTTCCTTCTGGTCAAAACCTAGTCCTACAATTATTTGGGGGGGGGGTCATCCCTTTTTTTAGTTAGTCAGCATAGTGCATGATTGACTCAACGTAGTTTCCAGGAAAGAGTCCAGTGACGCCGTTGCAGACACCTTCAAACCAGCCATCATCGTTCTTCTTGATAATGTAGATGATGGCTCCCTCCATGAAGGACAGCTCGTCCTCTTTATCCTTTGTGTAGTCGTAAATAGCCACAACTGGGAAAAAAGAAAAAAATACAAAAAAGAAGCGTTTTCAAAAGGTGCAAGTCAAAATATATTTTAAGTACAGTATTTCTAGTCCAGCTAGATCTTTGTTTTGTTGGCTCAGACCTTTTTCTAAATAAGCCTTGGGGGCCCATTGGGGGTCTCCATCGGCATAGGGGTCATTGTAGTGAACCACAGCAGCTTCTTCTTCTTCATAGTCCACAGGTGGAGGAGGTGGAGGGGGAGTGTGCTCCTCAAATACGCTCATATCTTCTGGGGGAGGTGGAGGGGGAGGGGCAGGGCTGTCTGTTACTGAAAGAAAACAGAAAGGGCAGATTGTTTTAACTGAGGCTATGGTCACACTGCAGGCAAATGAGACCCAAATCAGATTTTTTTTGTCCCATATGTGATATTTATTTATTTATTATTATTTTTTTTTGATAGCCTGAATGTGATAAATCAGATTTTTTCAAATCCGACCCAGACCTTTTCAGTATGTAAATGGTAAATGGTAAATGGTACTGAACTTATAGAGCGCTTTTCAAGTCCCTCCGGACCCCCAAAGCGCTTTACACTAACAGACATTCACCCATTCACACACACATTCACACACTGATGATGGCAAACTACACTGTAGCCACAGCTGCCCTGGGGCACACTGACAGAGGTGGGGCTGCCATGCATCGGCGCCACCGGACCCTCTGACCACCATCAGTAGGCAAGGTGGGTGAAGTGTCTTGCCCAAGGACACAACGACTGAGACGGCTGGACTGAATCTGACACATATCTGAAGTTTTTCAAAGTGACTGCAGTCTGAAATCGTGATGAACTACATCCAACTTCTTTATCAGTGAGGTGGGGGTGAAGGATCAATAAAAACACTAACTTCACGTCTTCAGCTACAGAAGTCCAGTTTGCTTCATCTTTTTTCTATTCATTTTCCTTGTTTTGGTTGACTGACAATCCGCAGAATCATATGACAGTACCGTCCTACGTCAGTCGCGGATCGTATCAATCCTAAAGTTGGCACTTTACTTCTAGCATGTCGCTTCTTTCCAAAAATGAAATGCTGCAGCTGGTCAGAGGCAGGTTCAGATATAGACACTGAACTAAACAAAGATGTCAGATAATTAATTAATCTGCTCTGATTGAACAGCAACCTCAGAATCGCTATGATATTCCTGCCGTGGGTGGGGAGTCAAGAGTGATCTAGTGGGGAGTCAAGAGTGATCTAGTGGGGAGTCAAGAGTGATCTAGTGGGGAGTCAAGAGTGATCTAGTGGGGANATCTAGTGGGGAGTCAAGAGTGATCTAGTGGGGAGTCAAGAGTGATCTAGTGGGGAGTCAAGAGTGATCTAGTGGGGAGTCAAGAGTGATCTAGTCGGCTCAGAAGGATGTCGGGACCACTCTGACCTCAAATCAGGGATATTAAACATGTTTGATTTTTTTGGCCCGATATCACAGCGTGTGTAGTGTTCACCGGAAAATAAACAAACTGCAGCCTGTTGAATGAGACGTGCAGCCAATCAGAAAGCGAGGTGATGTAAACACGGAGGGGATTCCTACAGAGCCCAATACAGAAAACAAACAAAAAAAAACCTGTCATGACTCAGCAGAAAGCCCACTGGATGTTAAAAGTCATGTTGAATTGTTTTCCTCTGATAAAAAAATAGTCCACAAACGATCAATATTGTTACTTCCTCGTCTCAAATGTTTATTTACTCTGAACTCACGTCTCTCTGGAGGTCACACAAGATTATTTCCTCTGACATCTGAATTCTTGCGAGATTTCAAGAAGTCGTGCGCAATTTAAAATCTGACATCTGAATGTTCATGAATGAAATATCTGTCCGTGTGTGGTGTGTTGTCTCTTGCCATGAGGCTGTACACCACATACTGTAGGACCAAAGCTGGTATAGCCATGATTTTTTTATCTTCATGTGTGGCCTCTCTCAGTATTTGAAAATCGGATGACAATTTTAAAATCTTGCCGTGTGACGCAGGCCTTATTTGTTAAAAGAACTGTCAGTTTAAATCCTGGATGGCTTTAGGACGTTTTTCTTTACACTTTCATTTTTATAACTAACTTTAATCTAGGCCTTTTCCAGTAGACAACTTGGAGGTGGGATCTGGTTGTATGAAACAAAAATAGGTTGTCTAGGACAACCTAAAGGCTCTTATGTCGACCCTTGGTGCCCATGGCATGGGTAACTTGAACATCTATCAAGGCACCATTAATGCTGAAAGGTACATACAGGTTATGAAACAACATCCAAGTGATGTCTTTTTCAAGGACGTCCTGCTTATTTCAGCAAGACAATGCCAAGAAACATTCTGCACGTGTTACAACAGGGTGGCTTTGTAGTAAATAAGTGTGGGTACTAGACTGGTCTGCCTGCAGTCCAGACCTGTCTCCCATTGAAAATGTGTGGAGCATTATGAAGAGCAAAATACGTCAACAGAGACCCCGGACTGTTGAGCAACTGAAGTTGTTCATTAAGCAAGAATGAGAAAGAATGCCACCAACAAAGCTTCAACAGTTAGTGTCATCAGTTCACAAACACTAAAAGGAAAGGTGATAACACAGTGGTAAACATGTTTCAACTTTTTGGGAACAGTTACAGGATCAAATTCAAAACGAGTGAATATTTGCAAAAAACAAAGTTTATCCATTTGAACCTATGCAGCTTTAACTTAGGTTGAAATTATTTGCAAATCATTGCATTCAGTTTTAATTTATCCCAACTTTATTGGAATTGAGGTTGTACTCTACTTCAGTATTAACATTTAATAGAACTTGGGACTATAATACTGGGTGTTGGTGAATCAGGATAAGACATCAGATGTTTTCTTTCTTTAATGGGCAGAAAGAACAGGACACAAGACAACACATCACTATGGAAACAGACAGACAACTTCAACCTTGCAACAGCATGAAAAAGTGATGCGTTTAAGAAATACAGAAAGAAATGTTTATATCTGAGGTGATTTTGGAGCACTGAGGGCAGTAGCCATATATTTGAGACTAGTATATGTGTCCTCATTAACTCATCTCTGTGTCTGAGTATGAGGTTTTACTTACTGCTCTCCTGCATTCTGGCCACGAATCCAGTCAGAGGGATCTGTGGGGTCAGCTGGACCACAGGAGGAGGAGGCGGAGGAGCCACAGACACTGAAGGAGCAACATCCAGGCAAGATGAAGAAGTAGCAGAGAGAAGGTGACAGCGAACAAGGAATATGATGGGGACAAAAAAACAACATAATAGAAGAGGGATAGTCAGCAAGTCAACAAAAAATTTAAAAAGCACAACTAAAAAGCTTGTGAGCACCTAAATGGTGCTGAAAGACATGGCAAGAAACTTATTTACGTTTCAAAATGTGTGCTTAGTTGCTCAAACATACTGCAGCTACAGTATGTATCCTGACTTAGTCTGAAGGTCTGTTGGATCAAAAGAAAAGCTGCACTGAGCAAAAAAGCTTTAAATACGGGAAAAAGAAAAACAAAGCACTGCAAAGAAAAAAAACACAAAAGCAGCACAAGCTCTGCCATGGACAACAATTTTTCAAAGCTGCAGTTTCATTTAATTTTGTTCATTTTACATTACATTTTCTGCCTATAAAAATATTTTTTAGCTCTTCTGTCCTAAAGAAAGAGATGAACAGACAAACAGTGTCCTCCCTGAAAGACATGATGTCACACAAAGACAAGCCAGGTCTGACTCATAAATCACACATAATGGAAGGGCGTATGTACTCTCACTGGGCAGGAATGCCTCATTACTGAGGCCTGCTGTCATCGCTGAGCCACATCCATCTACATCATTAACTTGTGAAATCAATGAACCCCATCTAACACAGCCACCACAAATCCAAAAGTTGCTTTTACTTTAATAACGCTGTAGTAACTACAAATACACGCTGGAGAGACTGTGACACACACTGTCTTTGTCCTCTCAGGCGAGATAAACAGCCACCTCTCTCGGTGCTTTCTGCAAAGGAAGATGGCCGTCCTTTAAGACGGGAGCCACTAGAGGAGAAATTCTAAGTGGTGGTTACCAAATATAAATTTCACTCTTGAGGAAGACAGGAAGAATGCAGACAAACCTTGCTTAAGTTTGATTTACATCCCAAAAATCCTCCTGTTATCAAGTGAAGGAAGCTTCCTCTACTGATTCAACTGATCATGTTATAACTCAAAGAAAAAAATCAATGAAAAATCTAAGAAACAGAGAGAAAGTTAGACGACTTTAGAAAATATAGCTCAGTGGTTTCTTCTTCCAGTAGCCTCCAGCAAGGTTGACTCATTTGTATCTCCTAAATCCCCAGACTCGGAGGCAAACAAAAGCCTATTTAATTTAATATGTAAAATGACAACGAGAATAAAACATATTCTCATTAGAATAACACTATTTGCTCCTTTCTTCTAAAAGTAAAATTGAAATCAAATGAAATAAATGACTTCCTACCTGAGTTCTGTGGGAAGGTTGGGCCTCCATTGATGTGGGGCTGCTGGGAGGAGACGGAAGGCGCACGGCGGTAAGTGCCAGTGGCCGACACCATGGAGGCAGAGGAGGTGGTGGAGGAGTTGTGACGAGAAATCTGGCGGGAGATGGTGCCAAACTGAGACATCGGGATGGGGCCCAAACCAGGGCCCTGTGGCACGGATGCTGAGGATGTTGCTGAAAGAACGAGGTAAGAAATCTTTAAAACCTTTAAAATTTTTAAATGTGGCACATCACATCGAAATGACGATGAAGTCAAATTTGGTCAAAATGACCTAATCACATTTTCAGATTCCTGGCTTTAAAAGCTACATTTTGATACCTGGATCATTCTGATACAAGTTTATCCAGAGATATGACTTTAATTTGTCTTGTTGGTTATGATAATACATTACTGTTTGGTTTGAATCCTAATTTTATGTAATTTATTGAGTCATTTCTGATGTCAATATAAAGAGGAAACCTCAAATATTATTTGTATATAAAGATTCCCCAGTTGGAAAGACACAAAAACATTGCTAGCTCACAGGAAAAAATTCAAAATTTTAAGGTGTTTTCCCTCAAAATCTGATTTTTTTGTTGCTACTGCTCAAAAGAATGCTTCAAAATTTTTCTTTATTATTATATGTCAGACAGTTCATTCAAATGATACATTGATAAGGCAATGTAATGAGCACATGTAATACTTTAAAATGTTTAAAGGACCAATTATAGATCCTAGAAATGTTTATGGCATGTCTGTGGGCTATCCAGACCATGTTCATTCAATCTAATGCACAAAATAATTTTCAGATAATACGATAATAGTTTACGCTAGCATGGCTAGAAATAGCAGAAGCTCCGTTGTACAACCATATCAGGGTATCTGCAGGTTTTAGTAAGTCAAATTTAAGACTTTTTAAGACCTTTTCAATACCACCTTGTATGAAATTCAAGACTGAAAAAACTATAAATATCGGTGATCGTTAGGGGATCGTGCTGTTTATAACCATGAATCGCACATGTGTCACTCAATGAAACACATTGAATATAGATATTCACTGCTCTCTGGTTCACAGCTGTATTGCACAAGTGCAGTTATTTGGTTGGAAACATCCAACAAAATATATTTACTGAATACTTGGGCCCACGCTGGAGGGACTATGTTTCTCAGCTGGCCTGGGAACACCTTGGGATTCCCCTGGATGAGCTGGCCCAAGTGGCTGGAGAGAGGGAAGTTTGGGTSTCTCTGCTTAGGCTGCTGACYCCGAGACCTGACCCCGGATAAGAGGAAGAAAACGGACGGACGAAGGGAATACTTGGGCCTAATTGTGTCTTAAGCTCCAGTTATACCTTTATACACAAAAAATCATGTAACTATCTATAAAAATACTTTACCCTGCATCATCAAGACCAACAACATTCGGAAGGAAGTGAGTTTTTTAACAACTTTTCTGTAGGTTATTGTGAAGTAATTTATGTGTTTACAGAAAGTTCTTGCAAAGTATAAATTATTTTTGATATAAATTATTAATTTGACAGATTTCCCCCCTAAAAACATCTATTTAAATCTAAGAGAATACAGGATCATAATTTATGAAGTCAATTAGTACTATTTATTTTTCATATTTGATATTGTATGAATTATATTTGTCACAGTAGTTACCTCTTCGTTTAGTTTTAAATATATCAAAGGTTTGCACATCCAAACAGACAAAACACCTTATTATTGCTAAAACATTAGGATTAACTTGTGCATATATGTATGATAAACTACAGCCAGCTGAAACTGACCCACAGAGAGAACTT